ATATATTGTGAACTACACACATTTTGAACAGGTCCATCGAAGTTAGGTGAGCATTGGGGACTACAGACTACAGACTATTGCTAACAACGACGCTACTGGGGAATAAAACATTTGGATGTACCAGGAACTTGATGGTCGTGATAGCAGGTGAAGTGGAGTTGGTCTGTTTGTGACGCTACAAAGAAATGATTGCACAATGTCCACTAATGCTATACTTCAAGTATATTTTACAAAGATATAAAGTATAAAGTAGATTTTGCCAAAGGTAAAACAAAATTCCGTACATTATCGCTTCCGACTGAAATGATATTGAGGTTTAGATTACACTCCTCGTCTCAACAATTAACGATAGGTCACATTAATGGTGTTAGAATCTGGGGGTGGGGCAATTTTGATCAGCTGGGGTGGGGGTGGAGCCTCTTTGATTTACTGTGGTGTGGGCGTTACTTTGATTAACTGGGGTGGGGGTGGAACCACTTTGACTAACTGGGGTGGAGCCCCTTTGATTAGCTTGGTGTGTGTGTGTGTGGTACTTTGATTAACTGGGGTGGGGGGGGGTGGAGCCTCTTTGATTAGCTGGGTATGGGCTGTACTTTGAACAGCTGGGGTGGGGTGGGGTGGAACCACTGTGGGTGTAAGCGGTACTTTGATTAACTGGGATGGGGGTGGTATTTTGATTAACTGTGGTGGGGTGGTATTTTGGTTAACTGGGGGGTGGGGTGGTATTTTGATTAACTGGGGTGGGGTGGTATTTTGGTTAACTGGGGGGTGGGGTGGTATTTTGATTAACTGGGGTGGGTGGTATTTTGGTTAACTGGGGGGTGGGGTGGTATTTTGATTAACTGGGGTGGGATAGGATGTACCTGGAGACATTGAACTCCCCCGCAGTGTGAAACGTCCGTCTAGATTGGCGTGACCTGATATCTAGTTGACCAATCGGCCAGGTCAGGTCGTAGTGACCGGTCGGAGGGTGTCGTGCTTGACCTCTCGCGAATGAATGGGTTTGTCTAGGTCACGTGGGTCTGTAGTTTAATATCACGTGATCTTCTTTCGTTTTTAATGTCACGTGATCTTGGTGGTGGTTTAATGTCACGTGATCTTGGTGGTGGTTTAATGTCACGTGATCTTGGTGGTGGTTTAATGTCACGTGATTTTGGTGGTGGTTTAATGTCACGTGATCTTGGTGGTTTAATGTCACGTGATCTTGGTGGTTTAATGTCACGTGGTCCTTGTGGTGGTTTAATGTGGTCACGTGATCCATGTGGTTTAATCCCTTTCTGGCCAGTTTGTGTCATGTGGAGGTAGACGATATATGACTAGTGAGTAGATAAAAATAGAGTAGGAGAGTAGGAGAGGAGTGGAGAGGTTATCGAGGATGTGGGCGCACTGATCATTAAAATTATCATTAATTCACTCGCTAATTATTTAGAATTTACAGCAATTGATCTCCTTAATGTTCCGGATACCGTAAGACATAAACTAGTTGGAACAATTTTGTTTTAGTTGGAAGAAAAAAAAAGTTTATGAATGAACGTTGGGAGCTCTGGGGACTAGGGTAAGAAATTTAAAAAAAAAAAAAAAAGCGAGGAAAACAAGTCGAGCACGTGCCGTCGCCATTTTTATCTGCTGGAGTGGGCGTGGCTGGTCGATGTAAAAAAAATACGTCTGGGTTAATCGAGGCGAGTTGTGGGTGTTGGTACGAGGGGGGGGGGGGGGGTGTTGGGACGGGGGGGGGTGCTGGGGAGTTGGTAGTGGTCAAGTCCCTGGGGTTGGTGTAGGAGCCAGATAGATTGTTAGGGGGTAGGGTGAGGGTCAGGCGGGGGGGGGGGGGGCAATCATATTAACATGCATGCTGGGTTAAATGAAACAAGACGTCACATCTTGTAAATAGTAAGATGGCGGGCGTCGCGCCCCGACGCGTGTCTGTAGTCACGTGTTCACGACACCACGTGTTGAGTCTTCTTGGGCGTACGTGTAAATTTTTCGATAGAACATTGGATCAAATGTTGTATAGAACATTTTATAGAACAAATATTTAAATTTAGAAAAAAAGTCTGTTGGTTTTAAATACAGTAAGAAACTACAGTAGTATTAGTAATTTGAAAAAAAAAATTATCACGATGATTAGACCACCTTGAAATAATTTCAAATCATACTGTGGTAAAAATGGTGTATAACCAAGATTCCAAAGGGTAGCCACCATAAGGCAGACCAAGCACTATATGGATGGATGAAGTTGAGGTAAGACAAGGACTATATGGATGGATAAAGAGGCAGACCTGGGGTAGTTAAGGGTGGAGATGTAGATGGAAAGTCTGAGTGGAAGATGGGATAGCAGCAGGTCAAAGGTCGCCAGAGGCTGTACAGCCTCAGGGATGGATGGGGGACAGACACAAATCTGGCGAAGCCCCACCCACCAAGCCCTATATAGCAGCACATCGCCATACTATAACAATAAAAATAAACTCTACAAAACCTAGTAAATATTTCCTTCACTATGTTCGGCCAAGGTCATGGCTGCTAAACCCAAAAGTCTCGAGTTCCAACCCTCGGGCAGATGAGGCTCGTTAGCTGGGGACAGCCACTCTTCTAGGAGAGTCAACGCCAAAATCAAACAACTTTTGCCTTGTAGTTTTTCTTGTTTGGACAAAGGCTATGGAAGCAAATCCAAAAAGAAAAGCAGGCTGAAATCAGAGTCAACGGCCTATATGGCGCATAACCAGTTGACACGTATACTTCTTTGTGTTGGAGGCAGAGGCGTAGCGACCCTTCCCGGCGCCCGGGGACATACTTTCAACTTGGCGTCCCCCTCGGGAGCAAATTTTCGATTTGCACCCCCCTCGAACTTTTCATTTGCACCCCCCCCCCCCCCTCAAACTTTCGATTTGCACCCCCCCCCCCCTCGAACTTTTCATTTGCACCCCCCCCTCAAACTTTCAATTTGGCGCCCCCCTAAGGTCGGCGCCCGGGGACATATGTCCCGCCCACCCCTCGCTACGCCTCTGGTTGGAGGGGATCTCTTAATAAAACACTAAAATTAAGAACGAAGAAGAAGAAGATTACATACTGCTAACTGCATTATCTCGCCGTAATACTTCATTGTGATAGAGGATCCCCCCCCCCACATACAATTCCACTGAAAAAGGAAGATTGAAATCATACATGTTTTCGTCACAAGCTTGGTAGTCTTATACATGGCGACAGACGCGCGCAAAACGCGCATGAACACAAGAAACGTAATCCAGTCGGTCTTTATTCCGGACACACCGGACCGCGCAGGTCGGATTAACTGGCGGACGATTGCGGTGTACATGTCACGTTAATCCGCTTTGATGTGGATTTAGGAGGTGACCTGGTGACCTTGATCTTCAACGGGTGGCGTGTGAGTTCTCCGTCATGCGAACATTTATTGTGCAGGAGTGTGTGAAGGTCAATGTCATAGGTGACATTGTGAAGGTCATTATTAAAGGTGACATTGTGAAGGTCATTATTAAAGGTGACATTGTGAAGGTCATTATAAAGGTGACATTGTGAAGGTCATTATTAAAGGTGACATTGTGAAGGTCATTATTAAAGGTGACATTGTGAAGGTCATTATTAAAGGTGACATTGTGAAGGTCATTATAAAGGTGACATTGTGAAGGTCATTATTAAAGGTGACATTGTGAAGGTCATTATAAAGGTGACATTGTGAAGGTCATTATAAAGGTGACATTGTGAAGGTCATTATAAAGGTGACATTGTGGAGGTAATTATAAAGGTGACATTGTGAAGGTAATTATAAAATTGACATTGTGAAAGTCATTACCAAAGGTGAATTTGTGAAGGTCATTATCAACCTGATGTCATCATTTGATCAATTATGACTAGCTGATAACGAGCATTAAATTGACAAGACAATTAAAAGCAAGATTTCAGGTTTGCGCGCCTTATAAAATGTCATCTCGTAGTTTTTAAGGTCAGGTTCAAAATCCGCACAGGAGCAAGGTGATAAAGTTTATATAGATACTACAGTTCTCTGGCTACTTCAGGAAACCATTTGATTCCACTTGAGTACAGTAGCTATTCATGCTTGGACAACAATCATTCCGAGGAGAATTGTACACTTGTTTTATGAGACACAACCTACCAAACTTCGGTCTTTGTTATTGTATTATCAGTTGTAGCGGCGCTATTAGTTACTGCTGGTTATGTGTGGACACCAGCAATCTACACCACGCCAGTAACAGGGACCACGCCAGTTACAGGGACCACGCCAGTTACAGGGACCACACCAGTTACAGGGACCACACCAGTTACAGGGACCACACCAGTTACAGGGACCACACCAGTTACAGGGACCACACCAGTTACAGGGACCACACTAGTTACAGGGACCACGCCAGTTACAGGGACCACGCCAGTTACAGGGACCACACCAGTTACAGGGACCACACTAGTTACAGGGACCACGCCAGTGACAGGGACCACGCCAGTTACAGGGACCACACCAGTTACAGGGACCACACCAGTTACAGGGACCACACCAGTTACAGGGACCACACCAGTTACAGGGACCACACTAGTTACAGGGACCACGCCAGTTACAGGGACCACGCCAGTTACAGGGACCACACCAGTTAAAGCGACCACGTCAGACTACGCCAGTTACAGGGACCACACCAGTGACAGGGACCACGCCAGTTAAAGGGACCACGCCAGTGACAGGGACCACGCCAGTGACAGGGACCACGCCAGTGACAGGGACCACGCCAGTGACAGGGACCACGCCAGTGACAGGGACCACGCCAGTGACAGGGACCACGCCAGTGACAGGGACCACGCCAGTGACAGGGACCACGCCAGTGACAGGGACCACGCCAGTGACAGGGACCACGACAGTGACAGGGACCACGCCAGTGACAGGGACCACGCCAATTCCAGGGACCACGCCATTTACAGGGACCACGCCAGTGACAGGGACCACGCCAGTTACAGGGACAACGCCAGTTACAGCGACCATGCCAGTTACAGGCACCACGCCAGTTACAGGGACCACGCCAGACCACGCCAGTGACAGGGACCACGCCAGTTACAGGCACCACGCCAGCTACAGGGACTACGCCAGTTACAGGGACCACGCCAGTGACAGGGACCACGCCAGACCACGCCAGTTACAGGGACCACGCCAGTGACAGGGACCACGCCAGACCGCGCCAGACCACGCCAGTTACAGGGACCACGCCAGTGACAGGGACCACGCCAGACCACGCCAGACCACGCCAGTTACAGGGACCACGCCAGTTACAGGGACCACGCCAGTGACAGGGACCACGCCAGACCACGCCAGACCACGCCAGTTACAGGGACCACGCCAGACCACGCCAGACCACGCCAGTTACAGGGACCACGTCAGTTACAGGGACCACGCCAGTGACAGGGACCACGCCAGTGACAGGGACCACGCCAGTTACAGGGACCACGTCAGTTACAGGGACCAGGCCACTTACAGGGACCACACCAGTTACAGGGACCACACCAGTTACAGGGACCACACCAGTTACAGGGACCACACCAGTTACAGGGACCACACCAGTTACAGGGACCACACTAGTTACAGGGACCACGCCAGTTACAGGGACCACGCCAGTTACAGGGACCACACCAGTTACAGGGACCACACTAGTTACAGGGACCACGCCAGTGACAGGGACCACGCCAGTTACAGGGACCACACCAGTTAAAGCGACCACGTCAGACTACGCCAGTTACAGGGACCACACCAGTTTTAGGGACCACACCAGTTACAGGGACCACACCAGTTACAGGAACCACACCAGTTACAGGGACCACACCAGTTACAGGGACCACACTAGTTACAGGGACCACGCCAGTTACAGGGACCACGCCAGTTACAGGGACCACACCAGTTACAGGGACCTCGCCAGTTACAGGGACAACGCCAGTTACAGCGACCATGCCAGTTACAGGCACCACGCCAGTTACAGGGACCACGCCAGACCACGCCAGTGACAGGGACCACGCCAGTTACAGGCACCACGCCAGCTACAGGGACTACGCCAGTTACAGGGACCACGCCAGTGACAGGGACCACGCCAGACCACGCCAGTTACAGGGACCACGCCAGTGACAGGGACCACGCCAGACCGCGCCAGACCACGCCAGTTACAGGGACCACGCCAGTGACAGGGACCACGCCAGACCACGCCAGACCACGCCAGTTACAGGGACCACGCCAGTTAAAGGGACCACGCCAGTGACAGGGACCACGCCAGACCACGCCAGACCACGCCAGACCACGCCAGTTACAGGGACCACGTCAGTTACAGGGACCACGCCAGTGACAGGGACCACGCCAGTGACAGGGACCACGCCAGTTACAGGGACCACGTCAGTTACAGGGACCACGCCACTTACAGGGACCACGCCAGTTACAGGGTCCACGCCAGTGACAGGGACCACGCCAGACCACGCCAGTTACAGGGACCACGCCAGACCACGCCAGTTACAGGGACCACGTCAGTTACAGGGACCACGCCAGTGACAGGGACCACACCAGTGACAGGGACCACGCCAGTGACAGGGACCACGCCAGTGACAGGGACCACGCCAGTGACAGGGACCACGCCAGTTACAGGGACCACGCCAGTGACAGGGACCACGCCAGTGACAGGGACCACGCCAGTGACAGGGACCACGCCAGTTACAGGCACCACGCCAGTGACAGGTACCACGCCAGTTTTATGGACCACGCCAGTTACAGGGACAACGCCAGTGACAGGGACCACGCAAGTGACAGGGACCACGCCAGACCACGCCAGTTACATGGACCACGCCAGTTCTAGGGACCACGCCAGTTACATGGACCACGCCAGTTACAGGCAACACGCCAGTGAACGGACTATGAGAGATATCGCGACTAGACGAAAATTTGAAATACACTCAGACGACGCCATATTTTGACTTCGCTATATTTCCGGACTATGCATAAAACCCAGCCTAAAACAGACACCCGGAATATCCCACCGTTATAGAGGTGAGTTACCTCCCCGGGTAATTAATTCCTTCCCGCACCACTCCCACCCCTCCCTACACATCAAAAAAGGGTGTAAATGTTACCCATAAACCCCTGGCCGCGTAAAACCCCGCATAAAGCTGGCTGGATCTATGGCGGACACTAAATCTTTTCTTGTTCGCGTCTGTGTGCCCACTGGTCTGTCTGTTTGTTTGTAGAGTGAGTACACTATGGTCGTGGTCTGTGTTTACATGTTGTGTGCGTGCTGGCTCGTTGTGGGGTCGGGCATGGAGGTGGTGGGGGTCGGGGCATCGGTCGAGTTTTTTTTTTTTTTTTAATGTGTATGGGCTTCACAACGTTTGTATTGGCTGATCAAGTAAGTTCACTGTGATGGCTATTGTGATTAGTATTCCCTTATCCTATATTTACTTCACTTCTCAATAATCCAATATTACGTAAACTCATTTAGATAATAGTTCATTAACCAACTAAGCTTTAATGGATTAAATACGTGGGAATAAAATCTGTGGTTTTGAACATAATTTGAAACCAAAAGACTTTTAAAAATGAAAACCATTCATCTTTCTCTTCGGAAAGGAAAATGTCGCATTATTAGTAAATTGCGATAAATATAAACTAAATCCGATTTTGTACGATTTTAAAACATCAAACTTTAATTGATGGTTGGTATTTCCAACAAGATTTGAAACGAATGTGAGAGCTTAGTACGCACCATCAAGTGACTTGATAGATGAATAAATGTTTGTTTCGTGAACAAAGAGGATAATAGAATACATAGTCCTACATTTAGACAAAATAAAACGACATGAGACCTAGTTAGGTGAACGTATCGTTTGCTTCTACAAACTAGACTTTATGTTTGCAGATTTCTCTTTACAAACTATACTACATGATTGCAGATATCTCGCTACAAACTAAACTATATGTTTGCAGATATCTGTCTACAAACTACCCTATATGTTTGCAGATATCTCGCTACAAACTATACTATATGTTTGCAGATATCTCTACAAACTATACTACATGTTTGCAGATATCTCTACAAACTATACAATATGTTTGCATATTAAACAAGGTAATTAAAAAGTCTAGTGACAATTTTAGCGCAATTTCCTTATGTTATCTAAAAATGGCTCTGTCGTAGCGTAAATCAAGAGCAGGGTTAGTAAAACCATTGGTTAGTTATTAAAACTTTTTTTTATTAATTATTTTTTTCAGTATTTTACATGTTTTATTTACAATAGAGTTACATGACTAAAAACCATTGCGCGCCTAGCTACTGAACGTGATGACGCAGCCATTGAACGTGATGGCGCAGCTATTGAACGTGATGACGCGTGTGGTGTGGTTGGATAAACATACCTACTAATTTTTTTGTGACCGAACGAAAGGATATTTTTGAAAACTTTCTTCGGCAATATTGTTCTAAATTATGGCAGGAATCGATTGGTAAATGTTTCAAGTCGCTAAGTGGTCTGGTTGCCGAGATATGGGCAAAAAACTGCATTTTTTCGAGGTTTTTTTGCTTTTCCAGGAAATCCAGAAAGGAATTCCGGATTTTTTTTGGCCCACTATCATCCTCGTAACTTCGTTAACATATTTGCTTTTGGAACTAGTCCTCGATATTGCTTCGTTGAGGAGGAGATACGACTTAAAGCTGCGGACACACATTCCCAGAAAAGGCGAGTTAATAAACGCAATTCTCCAGAATTGCTACACTGTTTACACAACTAGTTTCAATACTGGTAATTTTAATAAATAATTTGAAGGCTATAGAATCTGGTTGTCAAAAAGTTGTATTTCTTTTTCTGCAGTTTGTCTTTCTACTATTTTCATGCAATCAGCCATACACTTACCTATCTAAAATTCACCATTCATTCAATTATTATCTAAAATTCACCATTCATTCAATTATTATTTAAAATTCACCATTCATTCAATTATTATCTAAAATTCACCATTCATTCAATTATTATCCCGAATTCACTATTCATTCAATTAATATCTAAAATTCACCATTCATTCAATTATTATCTAAAATTCGCAAAAGTATTTTCGGTTTTCAAATATGTAAGTCTATGATTAGGTTTTCTCATACCATATTTTGTAACCAAATTTGGAGATATTCTTTCAAAAAGTGTCATACTAATTTGCGTGTGTTTATTATGCCCCTTGCATTTTTACATTGAATGCATGCGTAATTTTCTGTTTGTGCAAATTCTGAACTTCTACTTTTGTGCTGTTAGCAATCGAGTTTTAGTATCTAGTGTTTGAACATTAACTATTATTTATTTAAATATATTCTTAGTATTTTAGGCTAAATATGATAACCCATAGCAATTGTATTTACTTTCCAACTAACAATTTCTACTTAAAAAGAAAACAAAATTAATTATTTAACTAAAATAAATTAGTTTAATTAAATAATTTCTCGATGATATAAATAGATTTCATACACTGATCACTTGAATGATAAGACCACACACTCAGTGGCGTAGCGAGGTCGGGTATCACCCGGTGCGGCACTTAATGGTGTCACCCCCCCCCCCCCCCCCCCCAGAGGCGTAGTGACCCTTCCCGGGGACAAACTTTCAAATTTTCGATTTTCACCCCCCCCCCCCTCAAACTTTTGATTTGCACCCCCCCCCCCTCAAGTTTTTCTCTATATATTTTGATATTTCTAGCCTTGGTGTCACCTCCCCTAAATGGTGTCACCCCCCTAAATGGTGTCACCCGGTGCGGTCCGCACCCCCCCCCCCCCTCCCCTCGATACGCCTCTGCACACATTATACCCCGTGTCGGGATTCTTCCAGACATCTCTTCTAGTAATTTGGACACAATTTTAATTAATTCATAAAAATTAATTAGACATCCAATTAAGTCAAATTTAATGTCAGATTGCATGTCTTCATGTCTTGACCCATGTGCCAACTTTGAACCGAATCTGTCAGTTAGAAGTGCCCGAAATTTAGCTCGGGCGTTTCGATCTAGACAGACAGACTGACGACAGACTGTCGACGGACAGAGGAAGCAAGTTAAATATAAGCTTGTAAAAATAAGCACATCTGTTTTAGTAACAGGGAACAAGATTTTTAAAGCATTTAAAACGAACTTCGAAACCTTTTCCTGTTAGAGCCATTGAAAGTAGAGTCATTGAAAGTAAAGTCATTAAAAGTAGAGTCATTGGAAGTAGAGTCATTGAAAGTAGAGTCATTGAAAGTAGAGTCATTGAAAGTAGAGTCATTGAAAGTAGAGTCATTGAAAGTAGAGTCATTGAAAGTAGAGTCATTGAAAGTAGAGTCATTGAAATTAGAGTCATTGAAATTAGAGTCATTGAAATTAGAGTCATTGAAATTAGATTCATTTAAAGTAGAACCATTGAAGTACAGTCATTGAAAGTAGAGCCATCTAGAGAATAACATACTTTCTGCCCGAGGTGAATTACTTCCCAAGACAATCACTACCTAAAAAGAAAGGAATACATGTTTTTGATGTCTGAAATTTTAAAACAAACCCATTTTTTAGGCGACCGAGATATGGTGATAGATGACATTGTCAATTTAAGAGAGGAGATCTAGCTTATAACAATACAAGTCTTATTGACAATTAATGTAGTTAGAAATCAGCACTCCATCCACAGATAAGTATTGCGAGTCTTATAACTAGTATCAGCGGGAAATGCTTAGAAATCACGTTCATCAGAAGTAAATAGTATCATTTATTAACGGTAATTATTACTAGTTTAGCACCTGGCTTGTCTAGTCTGCCAATATGTTGGTCAATGACGAATAAAAGAAATTTAACAACAGCGTGTTGCAATATGTGGGGTAGTTACTAGCTCTTATTAATCCTGACCCCGGCGTCGTTCTTTTTTGCCTTTTGTCTTATTGCTTCGTCCGTTATGGGTCGAAACTTGCGAGCGAAATTTCTAACATTTCAACTGAACCGATTTTTTTAAAAATTTCCCACTTTCTTGCGCGCGTCTTCTTATCTATGCGATTTGATTGGTTCTACGACAAATTCTTGAATGGGCACTTGCCCGAATGTGACAAATGCCCAAAAGCGAGAAACTCCTAAAATCGACAAACGCCCGAATTGAGACTTGCCCGAAAGCGACAAATGCCTGAATGCGACAAATGCCCGCATGCGATACTTGCCTGGACATCCCAGACCAGACCACACAAATAACACTCCTGTTCCCCCACTAGCCTCTCCCCTGACCACCCCCCCCCCCCCCACTAACCTCACCCCTGACTCCACCCACCCCACCCACAAGACGTAACAGCAGACCCTCTTCCAGAAAGTTCGATGACTCACCGCCCAGCGTGCTTACACTCACGGCACCGGGCCCAGGGGAACGGAGAAATTGGGCGCGTTTTAACTCTCCTGGCCCGGGCCGGTGGGGGTGGGGACAAGGGGGTGGGGGAGGGGTGAAGATTGGAGTGGGCGGACATATTCGATAAAGAGGTGATCTTTTATGAAATAAATAAAAGCGATTACGACACATTTTTTGTTTATGTTGCGTCGATGTTTATTTACAGAATTACACGTCAAACAAGGTCGATGTTGAAGGCCGTGACCTTAACCTCCGAGCGGAAGTTCAACCAGACCAACGGAACATGCATTAGAAAAATGAATTTCGGGAACCTACATACTGGCATTGAATAAAAATGATATAAACTGCTAAACTGCGAAATATAATGAGTACAATGTGTAGAGTAATTTATTACAATACCGTCGCATTTTTGACAGACCACATAACTAATATGTGATTTGTTTGTCTGCAACACAGATCTCATACATTAAGTTAATTATGTATGCCTGAGTCCACTCAGCGCTAATGGGTACCCGGCTCAAGTCTGTAAATATAAAAGCGGCTCTGAATAATGGTGAACATACAGTAACTCAATACGCCGTGGTCAAAGAA